GACCCTGGGATCATGACCTGAGCCGAAGGCAGACGCTTAACGACTGAGCCACCCAGGCGCCCCTGTGTGTATTCTTAGATATATATACAAAATTTTAAAAGCCAGAGAAGTACTTATTACTTTTTATTATTTGTAACCCCCTCATTCTGGCATTTGTATAGGGCAGTCTCAGTTATTCAGTGTTAAATAGTACCTGACTCACAACCTATGGTTTTAGTTTTCCCTGGATCCCAGATATTAAGGCAAGAGCTCATATCTGTTACCAAATCTGAATTTCCCAGAGTTAATCTAGGAAATACCAGGCTCCTGAGATGGTCTGAGAAAAAAAAGTTCTGTGGTCAAATAAGTTGGGAAAATGCTGTACATTTTCTCTTCTAGTCTTTGAGAATCACAGATACTCATTTTTTTAAAGATTTAAAATTTTTTTTATTTTTAAGTAATCTTTACACCCCACACAGGGCCCAAACTCATAATCCCTAGATGAAGAGTCACCTGCTCCACTGACTGAGCCAGCCAAGCGCCCCTCATTTAAAAAAAAATTTATTTTATTTTATTTTTTTTAATTTAAAAATTTTTAGAAGATTTTATTTGTTTATTTGACAGAGAGAGACACAGTGAGAGAGGGAACACAAGCAGGGAGAGTGGGAGAGGGAGAAGCAGGCCTCCCACTGAGCAGAGAGCCCGATGTGGGGCTCAACCCCAGGACCCTGTGATCATGACCTGAGCCGAAGGCAGACGCTTAATGACTGAACCACCCAGGCGACCCCCCAAAATTTTTTTTAATTAAGCAAACTCTATGCCCAACATGGGGCTTGAACTCATGACCCTGAGATCAAGAGCCGCACACTCCACCGACTGAGCCCAGCCAGGTGCCCCGATAGATACTCATTTGTGATTAAATAAGCATTCAATTAATTAATACCTATTAAGTATGTGATTAAAGCATGTTAAAGTCTCTGAGAAGTCCTGTTGTAAAGTATCCTATTTTACTTTAGCCTCAAATTTCCCACATTTATGTGAACTCTTCTTTTAATTTTATTTTGAAAAATAATATAAAGTAAAATTAACATTTTTTAATGTACACTTCTATGAAATTTTGTACATGGATTTGTGTAACCACAACAGCATTCAGGATTCAGAATAGTTTTATTATACCCCAGAACTCCCTTGTGTTACCCCTTTATAGTCACATCCCCTACTTCTCTAACCCCTGGCAACCACTGACCTGTTCTCCACCCATATAGTTTTCTTTTTGCCATTTCTTTTTTATAGGAATGTCATATACATGGAATTACATACCATGTAGCCCTTGAGACTGGATTCTTTTATTCAGGTAATACCTTTGAGATTCATCCGTGTTGTTGCATGTATCAATTATTAAGGGTTTGTGTGTGTGTGTGTGTGTGTGTATGTATGTTTAGCTCTTTCTTATTGCTGAGTAGTATTCCATGATATGGATGTACCACAGTTTATTTATACTGTTGAAACATATTCAGGTTTCTTCCAGTCTTTGGTGATTTTGAATAGATCTGCTGTAAACATTTATGTACAGGTTTTTGTGTAAACATAATTTTTCACTCCTCTAAAGTGAATACCCAGGAATGGGATTGCTGGGTCATTTGGTAAATGTATGTAAGCAAACTCTTTTTATATGTGTAATACTTATTAAGATCCCACATAAGTAGTGTTTCAATGAAAATACTATTAACATCCTGTAGACCTAGTATTTCATAGGATGCACTTTGGGGAGAAAAGCTTTAGGAAGGCTTTGAATGCTGTGACTTGTTGCTGTTTTTGAAAGTCAAATGGACCTCAAATCCAATTCCACACACCCAAAGTTTGCTTGGGCTCAGCCAGGACTCCCACTATACTCCCATTTGTTAAGGACATTTGTATCACAGTCTCATTTAATTTAACCCTGACAACAATCCCATGATTTTGCAGTTGAAGAAATGGAGGCCCAGAGAGGATAACAACTTGCCCAAGTTCCCATGGCTGGTAAGTAGCCAAGATTGGAATTCTTGTATCTTATCATCAAGTCCAGGGCTTTTTCTGCTTCCCCCTCTACCTGTCTTTTTCTTCCTTTCCCTCTTTGAACATAGTTATCTGAGTCTGTAGTCAGTTGTCTTTGACCAGGGTTGGCAAATAAAAAACACAGTTGCTATCACTTCCCACTTCATGGCAGACACGAATAATTTAATTTCACCTCCTCTTTCTTGCTCAGCCCTTTCTTCAGACAACTATCAGTTGATTGGAGTTAGCACTTGAGCTAATAACCGTTTGCTATTTTGTTCTTGGACTTTGTATTAGTTATCTATCGCTGTGTAACAAACAGTCTCAAAACAGTGTGGTTTAAAAATAGTAAATATCACTTGTGATCTTTCATAATTTCTGTGGGTCAAGAATTCAGATAGGGCATTGCAGAATGGCAGGCCCTATTCAGTCATGCCTGGGGGCTTATTCAGTTGGAAGACATGAACCATGTTGGGGGAATTTATTCCTCAAAAGGATGAGTTGGGCTTCATTATCAGAAGAGGGCATGCCTTACAAAGACAACAGATGTTTCCTGTGCACAATGAGGTGCCTTTTGACCCTGAGGTCATTCTCTCATCTCTGCTCCCCCATTCTTGTCATGACTTTTCACTCAGTTACATCCTGTCACACTCATGTTCCTACTCAAATCGTAGGCTCTTCGTTTCGCAGGAGGACAACTTAAAGGCAGATGTACCCTTTCATAGTTGAAGGTCTTGCTCTTGACTCCTGATGCTTTGATTTACTTCCATGACTCCCTGTATTCCTGATTCCTAGTCTGCTTAGGATTTGAGGGGCACAGAACACTTTGGTTTGGGTGTTGGTTTTCTGGACTCCTAACCTGTCTCTCTCAGTCAGGAAATGGTTACTCCCAGATCTGTGGCCTTGACTCTGGACCTCTTGACTCCTTAGTCTCCTGCTCTGCTGTTTATAAACCTGTTAACCCCTTGCTTCCCATACATCCTGTTTCTTGATTTGTTTTCTTATTCTCCCTTGTTACCACCTATATTTTGGCTTCCTAGTATCTCTTAGACCAAATTATTTCCCAACACACATCTGCTGATCCGTATGCTGGGCTTTGCCTTCCAATGACAGGCTTCTCTCTCTCCCTTCCTTCATTTGGAGGTTATGCTGAGGTACAGTGTATTTAGCCTTGGATTCAGAACCAGAAGCCCCAAGTTCCAAACCTGACCCATGTGACTTTAGGCCAGGCTTTTTAATCTCTCTGAGCCCCAATTTTCTCATCTATAAAATGGAAGAGTATTATCTACTTCACAGCATTGCCTTGAAGATTAAGCAGGAGAATGTAGATATTGCAAGATAATAATGGGTAATAATTCTAAAATGCTAATGTGTGTATGTATGTATATTTAAAGTAAATTTATTTTTTTCTCCCTTCTAAGCATCTTTCCTTTATACAGTTTTCCTCGCTTAAGCAGCTAGGCCATTCTGTACTTATTAACTCAGGAAAGGAAATGTCAGAGCAGAAAAAACAAATAGGAGTCTTTCTGGCTTTGGTTTTCAAAAGCCTAAAGCCCTTAGGGGAACATTGAGAGCCCAGGACTGGTGAAAATGGGTGAGAGCAAGGGGTTTGAAGAGAGAGGGAGATTCTCCTTCAGACTGGCAATGGATTCCACTGTTCTGGGCAGAGGAGGGAGGTGGGTGGAAGGAGGAGAGACAGACGGGGTGTAATGAAGCACAGATGCAGCAGAACCCAGAGTGAGAGGGGCCTGTGCCCTCCCTTCTAGACAGAGCCCTGGAGAGCAGAAAGGACACAGCTGGCAGGTTCTGGGTGCCCACAGTGGCCCACAAATGGTGCTGGACTGGAAGAGGTCCTGCAGCCTGGGGGTGAAGGAAATGTCAGTGTAGGTCACTGAGGATTGAAGCCTACAGGCCTGACAAGGTGATGGCAATTTCACTTGACAACTGCATGGATAGATGACAGCAAGGACTAGAGTGCACTTCTGTCCCACCCCACTCCCTCCTTCCACTACGATTCTCCAAAAGCGCCTAGAACCTAGAGGCATTCCCTGAAAGTGGGAGGAAGGCTTCAGATTAACTGAGGTTACATTTTGCCACTCTGGTAGAATAGGGTCTAAAAATGAAGTTGAGTTATAAAAATAGTTTGTGTCTGCATGGTGGATTAAGACCCATAACCACTACCACAGAAAGCACTTAGCCTTTGTCTGTAGGTAGGCACCAGAATGTTTACTGAGTTTGAATTCAGATGTTATTGAGCCTCTGAATATATGTAATGTCCTACTTGATGTTTGACATCTGGTACAGCCATTCCCTCCATCAGGGGTTCTCAGGCTTTGGTCCCAGGGACCAGGAGCATCAGCACCACTGGGCTTTTGTGAGAAATGTACATTCTCAGGCCCTCCGCCCTGAACTACTGAACCTGAAACTCTTCCAGGTGATTCTAACACATGCTAGAGTTTAAGAACCACTGCTCTACATCCTTCCTGTTTTCTTACTTACAACCTCAGTTTCTCAGACTTATTTCAATAGTTAAGTTACCATGTGATACTTGACTAGCATCAGCTTTGGGCTAGTGAAATATATATATATATATATATATATACTATATATATATATAAATAAAACAGTTGTATTTACAGAAAACTTCTTTTATTAAAAAGAGTAGGCAGACTATAGTAAATAATATTTTGGGGGCACCTGGGTGGCTCTGTCCGTTAAGCATCTGTCTTCTGCTCAGGTTGTGATCCCAGGGTCCTGGGATCGAGCCCCTTGTCGGGCTCCCTGCTCGGTGGAGAGCCTGCTTCTTCCTCTCCCTCTGCTGCTCCCCCTGCTTGTGCTCTCTCACTCTCTTTCTCTCTGTCTCTCTCTCAAATGAATAAAATCTTAAAAATAATATTTTGAAGTATCGAGGGCAAAGGATGGTGAATCTGAAATTTAATTCCAGCTAAACTGTCATTCGGAAAAATGAGGTTTACAAAACTATTTTCAGTCATAATGAGATTATTTAGCACATACCATTCCTAAACTGATAGTCTCACATTACTAGTAATTCTATGAACTGATGATAAAAATTAATAATGATATGAAAATTTTCTGGGAATAAACAAGGACTTTGATCTGCATATTTATTTTAAGCGTATGGACAGGAGAGCTTCTGATTTCCCCTGGAGTTTTCTTCATGACCATTGCACTTTTATTTCATTTCACCGAGGACCCAGCTCCTGAGAGGAAAACAAGGGAGATTGGAAAGATACCCTTTAGTAAATGAAGAGAGGGTATCATAGGCAAACATGATCTTAAACATTCACTAGCTCTCCAAGGAGCCAGTGAACTTCATAGGGAATGATTTTGTGGCCAGGCAAGGTCCTAGGGAAATTTATGGCAGAAACATTTTCCCGTTTCTGGGTCAGGAAATGATAGCACACAGATGGAATTTACAATGGGAGTGTGAATGGAGAGGCCCCACCCAGGCAGCCCAGCAAAGGCCCCTTTCACCGGCTCTATTCACATATAATGAGTGCTCCCCAGGCTCTCCTGGCTGGCCGCTTTTTCTTTTTCCTCGATTGCTTTCACTTTTTCACAGAGGACTGCCCTGCTTGCGGTCCACTTGGGACTGGGGTGAGCCTTGATTTGGCAGGAGAAAGGAAGAAGTACACGGTGGCCTACAAAACTGAATTGCTCTGCCTCCCTGGCCCCTTTCCTTGAATAATAGGCCTTTGTGCTTTGAAATGTAGGGAAGTCCCAGTTTCTCAGGCTTTTTAAAAAAAGGAAACCTTCCTAAAACCTCCTCACCGCTTTAAGATGCTTAGCAGGGAGTAGTTAAGGGGCAGAACAGTTATTAAATCAAATGTTTCTTTAATAATTTTAGAAATTGTTAGGATAGCTGATTTCCAAATATATTTCATGCATTCCTTCAGACGGACAAAAATATTGGTTCAATTTAAAAGTCCAGTTTTTAAAAAAAATCACATGGGACAAATCTACATAAAAAAAAAAGCAACACCCCAAAAAAACAATTTTTGAAATATTTGACAAAGCAAAATTGCATTACAAAATTGCAGAGAGGAATTCAGAGAGCCTTTGGAGTCTGTTGAAATGGGGTGTGATAGGGGCACCTGGGTGGCTCAGTTGGTTAAGCGACTGCCTTCGGCTCAGGTCATGATCCTGGAGTCCCGGGATCGAGTCCTGCATCGGGCTCCCTGCTCGGCGGGGGCTCTGCTTCTCCCTCTGACCCTCCCCCCTCTCATGCTCTTTCTCTCTCAAATAAATAAATAAAATCTTTAAAAAAAAAAAAAAGAAATGGGGTGTGATAGACATGATTTGTTTCAATTTTTTATTTTATTGCCCCACCCTCCCCACCCCTTCTTCCTCCCCCCAACCTAGGCATGATTTAAATCATTCCACCTTGTAACCAAACCAACATGAGTTTGTTTCTTGGTGAGTCACAGATACACCAGGTGGAATTGTCACACAAAGTAAACTTTATTTGCAGCAAATAAGGAGACCACAGGGAATAACTTCAAAAGCTGTGACTCCCCAGGCAAGGGTGAATGGGTTCCTTTCATTTAGTTTAGGATGATTATCTAGATAGAGAAGCCTTGTCATCCTACACAGTGGAAGGCATAAGGCTGCACATGTGCCTTAAGGAAACATGCCTATACAGACATTGTATGTTATGTAAATGAGGCTTGTGGTCCTTCTTGGGTGTAGATTTTATTATTATAATGAGGTAAAGGTAGTTGTTGGTCATTCTAGAGGTTACTCGGTGGTCCATCTGCAGCAAGCATGAATTGGGAGTTTTTACTGAAACTGGTCTGGGTGGTCTGGGCCAGCTCAAGTTCTTGTCAGGGCTGTTGCTATCACTTGAGGGAGGGTTTGGTTTCCATTTGCCGGAGTTAAGAGATAAGCTGGAAAGAAGAGCTTAAGGAAAAACTGTGGGATAAAGGTCGATGAGTGCGAGCAGGTGGGCAGGAAAGGTCAGATATTGGGGTCTAGCTGTAACAATC